TACATACAGGAAGAACAAATCGACGGTCAAGAAAACGAACATGCCACACCGAAATCTCTCGGAAATATTAATTGGATTTGGGCTTTGGGCTTTATAATGTGTAAGAAAAACACTCCAAACTTGTACAAAATTGAATCTGCAAAAAAATCAGATCAATAATGTTAAAACGGTTGGCTAGAGAAAATGGTGCACTTAAATACAGAAAGAACAAATCGGCGTTCTGCCCAGCGGAAATCTCACTGACATTGGTTTGTTTTGGACTTTCGCCTTGATAGTGTGCCAAACTTTTACCAAATCGAATCTGCACAAGAATCAGACATATTGTGTTTAAAGATATATATAATAAACTCATCCTTGCGTAAAATATTTTCATCACAGAAATTTATTGAAAGCTATCTAATTCTTACCAAATATGTCCAATTTGAATTAAAGAAAGAATAAATTATGTATATTGGAAGTAACGTTCCCTATTACAGGTCATGTAAAATTGGTCTTTTCTTAAAAAAATGCCAGTTTTTAGCTCGACTATTCGCAGAATAATCGAGCTAATGCTGTCACCCATTTGTCGGCGTCGGCGTCGCTGTGGTTAAGTTTTTGTATTTAAGCTGGTATCTCCTTAACTACTGAAGGGAATGGATTGAAACTTCACACACTTGTTCCCTGTGATTATCTAAGATGATTGGCACAAGTCCCATAACTCTGATTTGCTTTTTTTACATAATTATGCCCCTTTTTTGACTTAGAAATTTTTGGTTAAGTTTTTGCGTGTAAGCTGGTATCTCCTTAACTACTGAAGGGAATGGATTGAAACTTCACACACTTGTTCCCTGTGATTATCTAAGATGATTGGCAAAAGTCCCATAACTCTGATTTGCTTTTTTACATAATTATGCCCCTTTTTTGACTTACAAATTCTTGGTTAAGTTTTTGCGTGTAAGCTGGTATCTCCATAACTACTGAAGGGAATGGATTGAAACTTCACACACTTGTTCCCTGTGATTATCTAAGATGATTGGCAAAAGTCCCATAACTCTGATTTGCTTTTTTACATAATTATGCCCCTTTTTTGACTTACAAATTCTTGGTTAAGTTTTTGCGTGTAAGCTGGTATCTCCATAACTACTGAAGGGAATGGATTGGAACTTCACACACTTGTTCCCTGTGATTATCTAAGATGATTGGCACAAGTCCAATAACTCTGATTGCTTTTTTACATAATTATGCCCCTTTTTCGACTTAGAAATTATTGGTTAAGTTTTTGCGTGTAAGCTGGTATCTCCATAACTACTGAAGGGAATGGATTGAAACTTCACACACTTGTTTTCTGTGATTATCTAAGATGATTGGCACAAGTCCCATAACTCTGATTTGCTTTTTTAGATAATTATGCACCTTTTTCGACTTAGAAATTCTAGGTAAATTTTTGCTTTTTAGACGGTATCTCCATAACTACTGAAGGGTTTGTACCTTTTCGGACAATTTTATGTATTCATATAGGTAAGCATTATTATACTCAATGAAACAATTTTGAGACAACTTTTCGAATAGTCGAGCGTTACTGTCCTCCGACAGTTCTTGTTTTAATGACACTTTATATTGTAATCACCTATAGTGTGTAGAATTTAAACACAACATATCTACTTTGTGTGAAGTTTAAACCTGTTCATTTTATATTTACAAATAGACTGTGTAGCAATTATAAATATTTTCAAATATGAAATTTCAAATTTGAGCATAGTATATCTTTAAACGGTCGAGAAAAGGGTACGTTTTACGATAATTTATATATACAGAAAGAACAAATCAACGGTGCAAAATAGGACCATGCCACGCGGAAATCTCCCGGACATATCGCTTGGCTTTGGTTCTTATATTTTGCAAAGAAGACCCTACCAACTAATACAATCAAAGCACAGAAGGCGCTGAATTTGTTTGGGTCTCAGAATGTAAGAAAGGTGCAGGTTGTGAGATTATATGTATAGTGCCACCAATGCTTTCCAGCGTTTTAATTGTAGTAAATTGGCTATAAGACTAATTGCAACACTGATATTCAATCCAATGTTTATTTGACTTCAACAATTTGAAAAAAATGAGTTACGTTTACTGGGATTTGAACTCCAGACCTCTCGCTTCCTAAGCGAGCCCGAAAACCCTTCAGCCACGGTGAATTTATATGTGAACGGCCTGAAGAAAACCATATTATTCTAAATTAGGGCTTGTAACGACTTTAACTGTTGTTTAACACAGATGTAAATAATCCTGGAGCTTACTAATAAGCATGTATATTTTATAAAGAATCAAAGGGCTGCAAGTTCTGTGGTATTTTCTGATCTTTGCAATCTAAATCGTACTGTATATCTGTATGCATTTTCCTGTATTATTTTATTTTTATGTATTATAACTCATTTTGCAAGGCACCAGAGTTTGATACATACGGAATTCTGCATAACTAGAGATGCATCAAAAAATCATTTATGTTCATTTTTTACGACAGCCACACTTTATCCTTGCATATCATGGTTACCTTCTTAACAAAGACACTTAAAAAAGAATTTAAAAAAAAAAAAAATTGCTCGACTGGGATACGAACTCGAGACCTCTCACTCACTAAGCGAGCGCGTAACCACTGTACCACGGAGAAGTTATTTAAACATAGGCTGATTAACATCAAGTCATTCTAAATTTAGAACTTCCATTGCATTTCGGGTTTGTAATCCTTATTAATTTCGAGGTATTTTGTTCAGGATAAACCTGTTGTTTAAAATTGAAGTGAATATTTTAGCGAAAATCTTCTCGCCCAAACAGTCCGACATGTAGAATCTATATATTCCACTACTCGGTTTGTGTAGTATTCGGTAATGGACATCGCTAAAAATAGTATTTTCATTGATAAAATCATATTCATCCGCGTAATTTGTGATTGTGCATTTATTGACAATTCTATAAGCCAACGCTATTGTTTAACTTTGAATGCGTTGTAATTTGTTGGATACTTGTAACAAAATAAAATATTTCTTTCTTTTAAATCGCTAGTTTTAAGCTGTTTTGAGAACTACTTGTTGTTAGGTTTGTCGTAAACTTCTGTGTCAGAGATTGAATGTCCGCTTGGAATTTACTTATTTTCGATCAGAAAATACAATAAAACAATATTAGAAATCTTCGACCATTCGGGAATTACTTTGCTTAAAAATTAATGCTCCTGTCTTTGACCATCTTTACGCAGTGATCTCCCCTGAATTTTTCGGCGTTACTGTACATACAAAAGGGAAGTAACCGCTTCAAAAAAGTGGACTACTTTCGGCATTTGCAATTAACAACATTAGACTCTGAAATTTCGCTACCATTATTTGTTTGGTCTGACGACCCAAACAAATAAAAACGAACCCGCCACTATTTATTTATTTATTTATTGATTAGCCAACTAAAGCTGCAAAATAATTTTCGCTTTCATTAAATTTCACCCGGGTTTAATTCCATAAGATACCTCTGCAGATAAACAGATAAATTTGAGCAAGCGGTTAAGCGCTAGTCAATTTCAACCGCAACTCCTCCACATCTGAGCAGTCACCAGCTTATGGACTTGACTATTGGCTTTCCAAAGTCCAAACCCTTCCTGTGGAAACAGTCATGTATTGTAAGCACCCCGATATTAGACCGACACTGCGACTTGAACAAAAGCTCGGTGTGTTTGATGTCGAAACAAAACATTCAATTTGTCGGACGGACACCCCCCCCCCCCCCCCGTCAGCGTGTTTTTTTTGTTGTTTTTTTAAAGAATTTTAAATCAGAATTTAAGCGCACGGTTGCTATGTTTCTAATGTATGATTTGTCCAAAAAAAGAGAGAGATTTGTTTTTCTACAATGACACAATAGCTGCAATATCTACTTGTAAGTGAAGCTGGTCTGTGTCAATAAAATGTTGCGCTATCAGCAATGTATCACACAGGAGCCGTGCTAGGCATTGCATTAATAGCATCAAAACTTTCTTAAAGTGGATTCGTCTACAATTGGTACATTTTCTCTAAGAATAAGAATTTCAAATACTGAGAAAAAATGTTGATAGATTTCGAAGTGATTTATCGTGAGCATTTATAATATTTTACATGGTCTAGAACAATTTATTATCTCCTTCAGATTATGCACATAAATTTCTTTCGTGGTTTAATGTTGCAATAAAGTAAAACACGGATGTATATTACAGTATTAATAATATAAATCCGTGAGTAAACATAAATATTTCAGGTATTACAGTACTTCCATTATTTAAGCTATGCAAATAATTAGAGCAAATATCTGTGTTTGACCAAAGTAAATTATAATTAATATTACATAACTTTATCTAGGGCCTATATATACATGTATATCTCGGAAGACTAAAAAACCTGGTCGCTGAGCAACGTTCTTATCAGGTTTCGCAACTTAATTATATCATATATGTATATGTATATAGAAAACATTAATATATATTCTCATCGAATTATAACTGGAATACATGCGAGAAATGACATATTGATGTAACTGAATATCACTTAATGTGCGTATAATTATATTTGAAACTTTACTATTAACACACATGTAGATATATGCTTTGTTTTAAGTCTATAAATTAATTTTGATGGAAATGAACGTTAATAACACCTTTAATTAGTGCCATTTTAATATTCAAACTCTAATTGGAGAATGAAATATAAACCGCAATCATGATCTATAGAGGCCTATATTAGTATTATAAATGTGTCACGTAAATTATTTTATGTCATCTTCGTCAAATATTTCCAGTTATAATAAAAGTCAGGCTTTACATAGTTCTCTTTCATTGTATTATTCAGATAAGATTATTATCACCAGTCGCGAAAAATGTTTGGCACGTATTCAGAAGCATTTCACACCCCTTTGTGCGCCTCTTTGATAGTCTAAACATGAAACGTCACGTGCTACATTCGGTTTGGTTCCCTTTTTCCGATAGATTGTTCGCGCTTACCAACTCAACACATCATAAGCTGGGAAACATGCTATTAAATTAGCAAATTGAAGATTTAACAAGGCGGACTGAATTTGTCCCGAAGCAAAATCGTGTCTAAACGGTCAAATCAAAAGAAGATCTTGTGATAAAGGTATAGAGTTGAAGGCTTTACAGTTATAGCACACTTTTTTAACAAAAAATGGCGACGAGACGGAGTGAAAGACGGGTCACACGATCTACAAGTACGAACACAGTGACTCGGCCAAATCCAGAAAATGAGAATCTTACAGACATGAAAACAGAATTACAACAGACTGAGATTCGATTTAGAAAAGCGTGTAATCAAATCAACTTATTAAATAGGAAAATGGAAAGTATACACAAAAGATATAACTGTGCCAAGAAGAATAATCATCGTGTGTTCCGATATAAACTACGACTAAGGTTAGCTGTGGTAGAAGGACTTAGAAACATGTACTACGAATATGCAAATAAAAAGGTATATATAGTACTTTCATTTTCTTATTTGTACTGATAACTTATTCGTAGTGTATAATTTCAATATCAATGTTTCACTGATGTCAATAGATCTATGTTATCCAGAACTGGTAGTGGTAAATGTGGGTTTTCCCCATCTAATCCTAGGTACAAACTATAACTTTTACCATTACACCTTCAGGATTCATAACCGTCACAATAGATTTGTCAATCTGTTGCACTTATTTTCGAAGCTCTAACATTAAAAGTTTGTTTATACCCACAGATTAGCTGCGAAATTCCCAAATATTTTTAATTCCGGAGTAAGTCTATTGTTTCCTTCGAAAAGTATTTTTTTAGGGAAAATTTGTTTTTCTGGTCTCCAGCTTTTTTGGTGGAGGAAGACCACGGGTGCCTCTCTGTACATTAATTTCAGGTACGAACAGGTACCAGAGTAGAACCACCAACGTTCTTTAAGCTACAGTAGCTTGATAGCTTCCTAACATGAAAGATCCAAAGTCACTGGCAGGATTCGAACCCACAGCAGTAAGGAGCAAGTTCTTTAAAGGCAAAAGTTCTTAACCACTCAGCCGCAAATGCCCCATTGTGATATTAGTTTTATTAATCAGTTTTCGATGAAATTAGCAGGTAAGACAACATACAACCTGACAAGAACTTGAACCCAGGACTGCTGCTCTACTGAGTCTGCCCAGTCCTTTGCACATTTTCTTTTCAATAAGTGAACATTTCTCTACCATGACAAAATTAATTTATCCTGTTTCAGTGTCTTAATCAGATTTGAGTTTTCATATTTTTTTCTTTGCAAGAAAAAAAGAAAGACTTATCAAACAAGATATTTTTTGTTTCAGGCATCAAGAGTTGTAGAACTGAGACGTGAACTTTTTAACGAGAATGTTGAAGTAGTAGAACAAGAGGACAGTGATTACGAGGACTCGGAAATGGACGAGGCCGATTGAAAACAAGGGAGATAATCTGTGATATATATATGTGACATCTAGTGCTAAAATTTTGATGACAGCAAGGCTGTTGCTGAAAGCACTGCTTGTCCCAGCTTGTGATCTCCAGGCTCTAGGAAGAAGATAGCCTTACTTGCCATGTGCAGAGTTTATAGCAAACTTGAAAAAGCAATGTTCTTAATGTGATTCAAGATTAATAACTTTATCAACGCCCGAATCATGAAAATATTTCAGACAATATTTGTGTTATATATTTTTTTCGTTTTCAAGTTTCGATTTAGGAATTGAAACAGTTTATCAAAATATTTTTTTAGGAAGAAAAGCCTGAATTATAAATAAAGAATTTTGCAGCAGAACCCTTCCATTGCCAATTTTGTACAATGGACTTGATATGCTTACGATATGGAACTGTCTATTTTATTTCAAAGGGGTTCGTTATGAAAAAAGTTAAAAGTAAAAAAGAGCATTTGGCAGAAGTCAGTACAGAGGCTGGACTCTTTGTGCTGAACTTTTTGATAAAATAACCTATGAAACACTTGATCAGAGTCATATTTCATATCCACAACTTGTCACTCAGTTTTTGAAAAATCAACAACAACATGTATTATTAAAAGTTACTCCCCTGTTACATATTTTCATTAATTACATTAAGTTATTAATGTCTCAACTTGTTTATGTCTAGGCACATAGGATAGAAGATAAATTTGCCTTTTGGTATGGCCAAAGGGACTCTTCTGCAATTGTTAATGTATATCGTATTACAAATTCTGTATAAGCATTTTTTTTAAAACGTTATTGATTCTGTTACAAGAGTTAAGATCCTGTGATTGGAATATAAATTTGTTGTCTCCATCAGTAAAGCTATATTGGTCAGATCTTTTCATATCAACATGATGTATACAAAGCTACACTTTTTGTTTACATTAGATAATTGTTAATTATAATATATTGAAAGTATATAATTATAACTTAACTGCATTGTCTTATGATACTGGATGGTTCCATTTTTGAAGTGAGGTAATATACTTAACAATATTCAATTCACTATCATAATATTGTACTGCAAGAAAAAAATGATGATCTCTTTCCAAAGAGATCCAATCTAAAATTGTCATATAATGATAAGTATATACATGTATGTAATAGTCATGCAGAAAAAATTAATGCAACTGTTGTACTACATTTGTCTGATGTCATAATCTTTAATGATGTCATGAAGGATCAGTTCTGATGTCATAAGAATTGTTATTGTTATAGCGTTTGTTTCAGTTTGTGATAAGTACAAATCAGAAGAGAAAAGATTAGTCATTGCCACCAGTATAGAGCCAAGACAGTCTGCACACTCCTGTAGTCTGACCAAAACTTATACTGTTGGTGACTAATTTTTTGTAATTTATAAAGAGACAAATTGTAAATTCAGCAGGTTTAGGGCTAAGTTTATTTTGACGATAGGTGTACAAAACTACATTAAACTCAAATGTTAATCATTCACTGATATAACCCATAAGCTGTATAAACATACAAAATGTTCACTGTAATATACATCGGTATAAATGTACACAAATAGCACAATCATGGTCAGTCAGGTTTTCTATGTGTCTTGTGAAAGGAGTTACAATTACGGTACTCTGAAACTATGGCATTTATAGGGTGGCATAAAAGGGACATAAGAAATCTTTTATTGATATGAGTGGACTGCACCTGATAGAGAATTACTTTGAAACAATAGCATTTATAGGGTGGCAATAAATAGAGGATATTGAATGAGTGTAAGTTCAATACTGAATTTATTGCACGAGTTGAATAAAATTATATTATGCTCGCCAGAGGCTCGCATAATATTGTTTTATTCAACGAGTGCAATAAATTCAGTAATTTAATATTCTATTTATCACATACCCAAAATAAAGACTGTTTAAAGTGAAATAAGAGTCATTTTTCATTGACTCACCTATAGTATAACGCTAACATTTAGCGCGTCTTTACACTATGTTTGTATAACGCTAATGACGTCACATCAAAATATTTGCACGGCCGTGCAATACCATATTTACGGAGTCGCAAAATCGGCACGAGTGTGTGATAAAGGGACATTGGAAATCTTCTTATTGAGATGTGTGCACACAATAGCTGTAAAGTGGTCACATGATAGATATTACATTTGCATGCAAAAGTAGGATACAATTTATGTTGCATGCATATGTTATATCTATTGCCTGTGGACTTAATACTATTGCATGCACACAAAAAAATTTCCCATGTCCCCTTTATGCCACCATACTTTTTTATATAAGATAAATTATAGTATTTGTTAATACTTTAAAAATAGATATTACTCGACTTACAAACCATTTTTGCTCACTATGTTGATAAATATGAGGTTTTTTGTTTTGTTGTGAACTGTCTTGCAGTTTGTTTCTGTTGATAGATGTAAGTGAATGTTCTATGTTAAGTGACTTTGTTATGTTATGGATGGTAGTGTGAAACTATTATGTTATTGCCTGTATGGTTTTAAACATTGATGACAAATTTTCATTTAAAATTTGGTGTTTTATTCTAATTTTCCTATTTTTATATAAAAATTTGGAATTTTTTTCTGATTTTCCTATTTTTATTAAAAATTTGGGATTCTTATCTTCTGATTTTCATTAAAATTTGGGATTTTATTCTGATTTTCCTATTTTTATATAAAAATTTGGATTTTTTGTCTGATTTTCCTATTTTTATTAAAAATTTGGGATTTATTCTGATTTTCCTATTTTAAATAAAAAAAATTGGGATATACTTCTGATTTTCCTATTTTTAATAAAATTTGGGTTATATTCTGATTTCCCTTTTAAAAACCTATGTTTTACTAGTAATGTGTGTATGATTTCTAGAGTTTGTTTTGTAATTTTTCTTAAATTTTTGTATTGAAGCTAAGTAAAGATTTATAATCAAAAACATAATTATATACACCTATCAATTACAATCATAATCCCAGGAAATTATTTAAAGCTAATGTCAAATTTCGTCATTCTTGGTCTACATATAAAAAGTTATATGTTTTTCATTGATGTAACAATTTGTATTTTTACAGTTTCCAAATAATGTTGACATTTTGGAGATTTACTTGTAGAACTGTTTTTATTGATTTACAAATGTATTTGGGGAATATAGAGTAATAATTCACGATTTATGAAGCTCTATACTGTTGGTCGAGTAACATCAGATTTATTCCGATAAACCAGATTACCCTATATTGATAATGGACAGTTTCCAAACATTGAAGCTGGACAAGTCCATTTACAAAAGTTCAGCAAGTTAAAGGATACAGAAGCAGGGAATTTTTTCCTTCTTTAAAGTTCTTTTGTAAAAATATTTGGAAGTTTTACAAAGTATTATGGTTTTACAAAAACTTATTTTTAAATGGTATTAGTCATTGTGTTGACAAATTTTATGGAAGTTGAATTATTCTGTGTATTATGTCATGGGTTTGCTTGAATTGAATATGTGTATAAAGATTTTTGTTTTTTTAACTATTTGTTGTTTAGTTACAAGTAGCAAATTTTAGTGTGATTGATTTTAGATAGATAAAATGCAGACATACAGAAAATTAAAAATTTTGTGATTTGAATAATGGTTTTTGAGTTTTATTTTGTCTCCCTCATTTAAATCTTCTTCTTGCAGTCATCTTCAGACTTTGATTTCATTGGTGACTAGGCTTTTGCCAGTCTCAGCTATTTACAAATTTCAATTTATATCGAATGTTTAAGTTCGATTTTGTGGAAAACTATAAGCTATATTGAAAAAACACTCCCAAATGTATTCCTGAACCAACCAAATACTTAGCAAATGAGTGTAAAGTTTGTTCAAATCATGAAACACCAGCATCCCTGCACAACCCGGCTGACTGTGTTTGAACCCACAACCGCAAGATGTTTCTGTATTATTCACAGCCGTCCGTGGTGGCTAACATTAAAATCACTTGCCCCTTCACTGCGTGGGTTAGAAACCCCATCATGTTAGTCTAAGTTCTGAGAAGGAACAAGTACTCCTATACCTGCAGATGAGGTGAAACTCATAACTTAACATAAACTGTAGAATTATAATTCAGAATGATTTTGCTTGAACCATTGATTTAATAAATATGGTGCCAAATTTCCAATAACAAAAATAGTTAATTAATACAAGCAAGAAAAGTCTTATGACATGAGTGGCCTCATGTGCAGAATAGATGTCTGCTATAATAGAGAGGTCTAATATGTTTTATGACTTAAGTAGAGTAGTGTAACATATCTATTAAAATATGACAAAACTGAAATGTTTAATATGGCGATTATGACAATAGAACATCTGCATGATACTGCTTAATTAGCAATCAATTCAGATTATGACTACTTCATATTTATCACGGCTAAACTCCATGAACCAGAAGGGTGGTCTATTATGTCAGTATAAGGAAGTTCTAAAATGTATAGTATGACAATAGCAGAAATCTTGAATGTCTATTTATGACAATAAAGGACGTTTACATATAGTCTCTTTTATGAAAGACAGAATCTTCATAAGTTTATCTTGACAATATAACGACAATGTTAATATGACTAAAAAGGATATCAATATGTCTTCATGAAAATGAAATCTCAAAGCATGCCTGAATTGTTTTTACCTCGGTAAAATCCCTTTAATATCATTTTTCGCATCATCATGCTTTCATTATTGCATTACACCGCAAGGAGTATACTCGCAATTAGATAAAAACTGTATATACATAAGCAGCCGTATATAATAAGACCATCAATGGGACTGGTGCAAAGTAGTCTTAAATGCAGGGTGGTCTCGGATGCAGTTGTGGATATTCTTATCATTACGTGTATATTTTATGACCATGGTCTAGTTTATTTATTTTGTATGAACAATTGGTATCATAACCTTCAAATTTTGCCAAGAATGTGTGTTATAATATCTGAAGAGAGCCGAACAAAATTTTGTATTCATTAATCATTAATCATTGGATTGGTTTCAATATCATTTGATGAACATAATCCACCTATCAATTTATCACTGCAATATATTTATAATATGTTTGTTGTGAAAAATATAACATATCTATTTTGACAATAGACTTCAAGTGACGCATTTAGTTCTCCTGAACCGCATATTAAACTATTCATTAATGGCCGCCTCCATGAATTCAAAAAAATGGCACAATGGAGTTTAAATCAATATTTTAATGTGGTACGATTACAGTTATCTCATGAATTTGATTTTAAATAGAATCTTACAGTATATTCATCAGTTTTAATTAACATATAGCGCTTTATTTTATTGAAAATGTTAATTTATAGTCAAATTCGCAAAAAGAACGTTTCGGACCCAAAGTTTGGGTCCGAAACGTTCTTTTTGCGAATTTGACTATAAATTAACACTTATCATTTGAAAACTCAAATGCATTAAATGGCCACAGAGTTCGGTGGAGAAGAAGTTCAGATTCGTGCTGGATGCTACTTTTGCATTTGGTTCGATTTGGTTTGGGCCAAACCAAATCGAACCAAATGCAAAAATCAGCATCCAGACGAATCTGAACTTCTTCTCCGAACTCTGTGGCCATTTAATCATTTGAGTTTTAATGATAAGTGTTTCCTTCGTTTGATTGTGCTTCATAGAATTGTGTTTGTAAAAGTAAAAATTTATGACATTAATAATAAAGTGAATTTTAATGATGCTAAATAAAGCTTGACATTGAGTATGTTAGTATTCATCCTAGTATTCATCCGTATCTTTTGCACAGAAAATAGAAACATTCTTTAGTCTCTATGGCTCGGGTCGAAGTTTCTTATTTCTGTAGAGCAGCACAGATGATCGCTAACATACAAGTAAAATTTAAATGCCAGAAACTGATCTATAAATTGAATTATTTATTTTCTATTTATTGATGATGGTCAAAACATTATGCTGTCTGTGTTTTAGATAATTATCCCCTGCCGATAGATCAGGGGATATTGTTTTGGCGTTGTCCTTCCGTCCGTCCTTCCGCACTCACAGGAGAGTAATTTTGTGACTAGAGGGACACTAGGTAACTGTTCTTTCTCTTTGATGTCATTCATTCCGTAATGCTTTTATGTGGTTATTTTCTTTTGTGTGGCTAAAAAGAACAATAGAGAGAACAATAGAGTAGCCACATACTTACTGTCCTGTGAGAACGTCAATCCGTCCGTCCATCCTTCCGTCCGAATTTTGTTTCCGGGCTAGTTCTTTGCAACTGCTGGCTGGAATTCAAGGAAACTTTATGGCAATCATCAATATCAAGAGGAGATGCGCATATCGTCAGCTTGTTCCCGTCAGACCCTTTAACTCAGAGTTATAGCCCTTGATTAGTTATGCAGTATGCATATAGAGTAAAAATCGTTTCCACACTACTTCTCTGCTACAACTGGCTGGAATTCAACAAAACATTATGGGACCTTCAATACAAAGAGGAGATGCGCATATCGTCGCCTTTTTCTGGTCAGACACTTTTAAACTCAGAGTTATAGCCCTTGATTTCTTCATGCAGTATGCCATAGACAGCCAAAGATCATTTCCTAAGCTACTTTTCTGCAACTACTGGCGTAGATTCAACAAAACTTTATGGAACCTTCAATACCAAGAGGAGCCCATGCGCATATCGTCAGCTTCATTCTGGTCAGACACTTTAACCCATGAGTTATGGCCCTTGATTAGTTAATGCAGTATGCATATAGAACATAATATTCGTTTCCAACACTACTTTTCTGCAACTACTGGCTGGGAATTCAATGAAACTTTATGGAACCTTAAATACCAAGAAAAGATGCGTATATCATCGCCCTGTTCCGGTCAGACACTTTAACTTGAGTTAGTTATGGCCCTTGTTTATTTATGCAGTATGCAACCAGAGCAATAATCATTTCCGTGCAACTTCTCTGTAACTACTAGCTGGAATTCAACGGAAACTTATGGGAACCCTCAATATCAAGAGGAGATGTGCATATAGTCTCCTTGTTCCGGTCAGACACTTTAACCCAGAGTTTTGGCGTTAGTATGCATATAGAGCAATATTGCTATTTCTTTTGCAACTTGCTGCATTGATTTCAACAAAACTTATGGCAACCATGGATACACAAAGCAATTTACATCTCATTGCATGTCCAGATATTAATATCTAACACAGAAGTAATGGCTCTCTGTTATTGCCCTAAATTTATCAAGTATACTGTACAAAGATTATAACTGTTTATGCCATAATAAATTTATAAATAAAGCCTTAATGTCTTCATTGTTGTGTTAATATAACCAGTACTCGCAGTATCGGGGATATAAAATCAACAAGTGTGCTTGTTTCATTTATTAAAATTACAAAAATTATGAACGAAATATATACTCTGACTGTTCCTTTCAGTTATATAACAGCCTTACAGCAGTATGGGAGAAAAAAAGCAGGGGGTAAGGAGGTTTAAAAATTGTCAATTAATTAAAATTAAAGTTTGCGGCATGGCCTGATCAGACTGAGTTCAGGTTAACACAATCAAACACATCAATACTAGTAATCTAATTGCATCAACATGTTGCATGGGTTCAAACCTTATAACGGGCAATCTATGTTTTCTTGAACAAAAACTTTACACTCACTGTCATTTAGCTGGTTGGTTCCAAGACACAGATTCGAAAAATGTCTCCGTATACATGTGAGCGTATAGCTTCATACACTATAAAACTGAAATTAATTCTGATAAACCAAAGAAAAGTTTTTCTCTGTTTGGAAGATGCTTATTTTAACTCATTACATGAGCATTTTGTGAAAAAAGGCTGTTATTTTCATTGAAAAGTCTTCGTTACAAGTTCAAATTGCTATAAAACTATAAAAACTGCTTCAATACTAATCAAACTTGGCACAAATGTTGACTGAGACCATTGCCTTTGTAACAACATGCCCAGCCTTAAGTTTCCTTTTACCATGGGCAACAAGGGGGAACATATCAAAATTGCCAAAAATCACTATTTTGCGTTGATTTTTTCCATCAAAATTGATTTCAAAGTGCTGCAACTTCTCAAATGGATTGAGATAGAGTCAAATGCTTTTCAGCGTTGGTTACACATTACCTTATGATCGATCTGGGGTCATTTTAGCCTCTCACAAGTCCAAAATTTTCTTGGCGATGAGGGGGACAACCCCCCCCCTTCAAAACCCCCCAAACAGAAGGAGGCACATCCTCCTTCTGGCAACCCCCTGATGTATCTTTTGATTTGGGAGCCGCGCCGAAAAAGTGGTCACTTTTTTAAACAACATTTCCCAAACAAAACAAGTGTTGGGGGCCTAAATAAAGCATTTTTTCACCATTTGAAACAACAAAAAAAGGGGGGGGGGTGAAAAAGATGTTAAAATGTGTGTATATCGGGTAATGGGTTAACAAGACTTATCCACCTTAAAGGCTCCCATTTTTGGATCCATCCTTTATCAATTCTTGTGGATATCAAGCTTAAAATTTGAAGTTAAGTCAGCCAACATTTAAATAGAGCCTGGTCATTCTGCCTGATGTTCAGACAGGTATTGGTGGCAAAGTCTTACCACTTTCAGTTCCAGCAGAGCAAGGGTTCTACCATTTTATAAGACAAGTCTCAATTTTGCCTTAAATTTGGCAGTTTTTGCATTGACCTTCTAATAAATCACATTTTATATAGTCCAGTGTTTTTACTTTTCAGTGTTCACTGTATTGTACAACGTTTTATTTATGCTTTTTTGTTTAAAAATTATGATATTATGTATATTGTTCTTTGAAAAGTAACATAAAAACAAAGTGCTTATTATGTTGTTCTTGATTGATTATGTAGGAACTGCTAGGCTTCAACCATCCACATGTTGCAAATCCTAGACTTCAACTTGAGAAGCCGGAATCTGCAGTCAGTCGTGTGTTCGAACCCCCATGGGAGGATGTAGTTGCTGCTCATTTAAGGTGAGGCAAAATACCTGTATATTTCAGTCTTCATTGTTGACTGGCATGTCAAGTTGTGTTAAAACGATATATTAAGGTTTGATTGTTTGATTAAGAAATTAAACATTACCATATTGACTCAACTGTAAGATAGATATAAGATGGGTTCTCAGAATTGTTTTAAAATCAGTACTGTTTTTGCTATGAACCACTTATAATCACTCACCTAGATAAGACAGATCACTTATAAGATGGGTCCTAATTTTGCAATGAAATCTGCAGTCTTTGCTTTGACCCTCTTATAAGTCCCATTTTATGGAGTCAAGGGTTCTTACTTTTCATTGTATCACTTAAATTATTTTCAATTAAATAGTAAAATGTGTTTGCAGATCTAACTTTGATCCAGTTTTGATATTTCTAAATTCTGTCTTGTAAATACATGTAATGGAAATTGAAGTTTTAATTCTTGATTGTCAGTGTTTGGGTATTTCTTGTACATTACTTAATGTAAGTGTTCGCAAGTCAAATAACAATCGGAAATATATATATATGTATTATGCATTGAAGAATGATTTGGTGAATTTGTTGTTATTATAACTTGTTGTTTTTCACAGTCATGTACATATATTTTCATATATTTTCAGATGTAGCTGGGCTGTAGCAAATCGTGATTTTGTTGAAGCTTACGATTGTCAGTCATTTATAGTGCTGTATCCTTTTGTCTAAATACAGTACAACCTCTATAGAGCTAGAGCCTTTGGGAAAACACGATTTTGGTTGCTACTGAGGATGTTTCCTTTACAGAGGTGAAGTCTTTGGGAGAAAAATGATACTGTTTTTGTGAAGAAGTGATTGCTCTACAGCAAAGGCCAGCTCTGCAGGGGTTGTACTGTAACATTTATCATACAGTCGAAGTGTGACAGTGACTTTAATAGTGACTGTCAGATTGGAAATAAAATTTTGTGGAAATTTATTTGAGAGCCATACTTCATATGTTAACTTTCACTTTTAGATTTCTATTGCACTATCATTTTACTTTTATTATTTAAGGTTAAAAATATGAAGAGATATATTTGGATATCTGTCATGAATAACAGATTTTGCAAGGGATTTTGGTTAAAATTATACCAGAGTAAGAAAGAATAATGTTTGTAAATTTCTATTGAAGTTTCAGTTTTATCTGAGGAACTTGTTAGAGATGCGATTTTTAAAAAAAAAAATGGCTATATTGAAGGTTATATCACCAAATATTGTCCTTAACATTTGTCAGATCATTTTCAAAGATATTTCAAAGTCAAAAAGATGAGAACTGGTCCCTGCCGCTTTTGTTTGCTATATGTTTAGATCTAAGACTGTTTGCCAATAAGGTATGATTCAACAAATACTGCTTCATATATATATATATTTTTTTTTATATTTGATAAATAAGGCAAGTACTGATTTTAAACATTTTTCTTTTATTTGTAAGACAATTTTGATTATCATAGCAATCAATTTTTAATGAAGAAATAATTCTATACAAGATAAGGTATTGAGTTCATACTACTAAACATGTCTTTTCTTGCATATTAGAGAGAAAAACTCATCTTGCTTCCTCTATGTAAGACATTTCGCATGCTATTAAGGATTATATTCCCACATATGAATGAATTTTGTGCTCCGGATGATGTCATAAAAAATTCACTGTTACATGTAACTTATAAATGAACTTGTAAATTCATACAATACAATAAGAAAAAAGTGCTAAATGAAAATATTTGTTTTCGAAATTTCTTTCCATAATGTGATTTATATGTAGTGTGCAAGAGAAAGAATTAAACATTAGCTGTCATTACAGAACGGAATATTTAACTCTAATTGTTAAGTTGAAACTCAACAGTGCCTACATGTAGTTACTGTCTGTTATGTTACTTATGTACAGATTTTACATGTCAAATATTTTGTATATACATGTGTACATGTAAAAATGAGCCGTGTTATGACAAAACCAACATAATGGGTTTGCGACCAGCATGGATCCAGACCAGCCTGTGCATCCACGCAGTCTGATCAGGATCCATGCTGCTCGCTAACAAACCCTATAATAAGTAGAGAAGTGATAGCGAACAGCATGGATCCTGATCAGACTGCGTGGATGCGCAGGCTGGTCTAGATCCATGCTGGGCGCAAACCTATTATGTCGGTTTTGTCATGACACGGCTCATATGTACACATCTTTATCTTTCTACACAGGCTGATCAGCAAGCTGTGAGACAAGGGAAGGGAAAATATGGCGAGAGATTAGAAAAGGCCGCTGATACTCTCATGGGATGTTTCCGAGTTTGCGCCAGTGATAAGTATGCCAATTATTCATGTATATTTATTGTTACATTTTTCTTGATGCGAATTTAAATGAAGGTCTTGCAGATCTTTGCAGATGATCAGTGCTTATATCTTGTTTTGTCATGAATTTTTTAAGGATATATATATTTGTATATAGTTTCTAGTATTCATAATAATGTATATATTAATGTTATTATTTGTGAAAAAAAGATAAATATACAATTGTTACTGTTTTAGAAATATTTCAATTCAATTGTTACTATATTTAGAAATACCGGTATGTAAATAGAATTGTTACTATTAATAGAACTATTTATTTATAATCATTATCATCTATAGAAATGTATAAATGCAATATTACATGTAATACTATTTTTAAAAGTATTGACACCTGGTTCCTTAACCTGCTGGAAATGAAAGTGTTTAGTTGTTGGTGGCAGTAGACCAGGCCAGCCTGCACATCCGTGAAGTCTGACCAGGCTCTATTGACTGACCAATTTAAAATTTTTAACTTGATATCCCCAGAATTGATAATGGATTGTTCCAAAGCTGGACAAGTCCATTTAAGAAACTCAGCAGGTTAAGGGTTAGTGTTGTTACTATTTATAGAAATATTAAGATATAAGTGTTTTTATTTATAGAATACCATATCTAAAAATAACAAAGCATAAATGTTTATTGAAAGGGCTTGGTTCACTAACCCAATACAAGTGCCCCAAAATTTGGGGAATAAAATGAAATGGCTTAACCAAATCAAATGTGTTTGTTTTTATGTAGACTCATCCTAGACCTATGCAAATATGTAGCCAATAATGATATTTGATGGTCATGAACATTTCACACCAAATTTGGCCATAAGTAAACCAAGCCCTTGGTTCCAAATAATTTTGTTAAATTTTCAGTCGGGCAGCTATTGAAGATACTAAGAAATGGGGGATGTTGAATCTTGTAAATCAATTGTTTAAGATTTACTTTAAGGTGAGAACTTCAGTATTAGAATTTACTTACACAGTAATAATAATAATATTTTCCATATATTTAACAAACCTAGCTCTTTAGTATGCAATGTTAAATATTTACATTTGTATCTCTGTTGTATTTTTATATGGAAAAGACTTTGATTATCAACAAAGTAAATTATTTCCAAACATTGTCTATATGCTAAATCAAGCTGGTGGGCGTCATGAATTTTATTTGTTGTTTAACAGACTTTTTAAAAACAGGACAAGCAGAAATGAGTCTTAACTATGTTCATGCCATTTTATTTTTTTTTCAGAAAATATATATGTTTCTATACTATATAATGAAAATGATATCATGAAATTGAGTTAAAATGGTCCATGCATCACTTGAATTTATTAATGTTATGGGAAGAAAACGGTGTTCGCAGACTCTAATTGTATTTATATCATTCACAGTGCCGTTTTAGTTTTCAACATTGACATCATATAATATCTTGCTTTCATTATGATAACAATAAGACCAATTTCTGGTTTTTGCAGGTAGAAAGTGACTTATAAATTACAAAATTACATTTGACAGAAAATGCAAATTCAATATTTGTAATATAGAGATTTATGTAATTGTTATGTTACATTGAAAACAAGTGGCTTCTTTTGAAAAACATAAGCATGCTTTTTTACCTTTTAACCATTATAATTACACTATGTACTGATTTAAAATGGAAGTATACTGGAATCTTGTTATTGTTTATTTACAGATAAACAAACTACATCTGTGTAAGCCATTGATTCGTGCAATAGACAGTTTACCAATGAAAGACAAATTTAGCCTGTCTCACCTTATAACATTTAGGTAAAAATTGTGTTTGTTAATAATCTAATATAGGGGTGTCATGGTTAGCAAAAATGCAAACCGTTTAAATGGCAACTAAATAACCATGTAAAATGTTTAAATGATGGTATTAAAAGAATTTTAAGATTTTTAAACTATAACTTTGTTTTTATGATAAGATAGCACATTTTTGCTTGTATTTTGTTATACTTGACATCAATTACTAAACATATCTGGTTATGGAGTGCTATTGTCGGTAAGGACTGTATTGTACAAGATAAGATAATGTGCAATTGGGGGAAAAAATCATTTAAAATACAAAAAAAATGTCATATCATAAATAAACAAAAGTAACGCTAAAACCAAATTTAAAATTTCTTTGTCTATTGGCCATGGTCTTAAATACTAACTTAGGTTTACGGTTATTTAATTTTTAACCTGTTTTTAGCTAAAAACCGACTGATGTCGTTTAGACAGATAAACATGACACTTCTAATGTAATATATATTATATTGGTTCATGTTTTAGTATTTTTAATATGCATCCTAGCTCTGTATTTAATCTTTCTTTCAATTTGTTAGCTTGTCTGTTTAGAAGTAAAAGTCAAGCTATTATCATTATGACTGTATTGTCGTCGTTCTTGTTGTCATGCAAAAACTTTCATGTAGCCTATTTTTTAAAAACATTTAAAAGGTATCAACATGAAACTTGGAATACTTGGTTATCATGACAAGGTGAAGTTGTTAGACAAGGGGCATATTTCTGAAAGCTATATATTTAAAGATATGCTACTTTTTGACTCAAAATTTTAACAGACAAACATTAACACCCTATATGGTGCTCTTGTTTACAATAAAAATGCTTTGAATTACTTTATTAAGTGATATTTACCTGCTTTCTGCGGTTTGCAAAAGTTTTGTTTGAATTTTGAAAAATAATAATTCCAAAATGCCTGTATGAAAGAAATATGAAAGAAATATGTTAGTTTATGTCCTGTAAAGCAAATGGTGCATGCACAAAATGATTGTTTAATGGCTAAATTCCTACTAAAACAGCAGCAAAATATTTTGAATATTCATGTGTGTTAAGTACCAGAAACACCCTACATTACTACTGTTCATAACATTATAAAAACAACATACTTAAACGTTTTTAGATTTTATAATGATATTTTGTCTTTCTTTAACATGCAGTGTATGTTTAGTTAAGGAAGCTGTCCCTTCTGGCAGCTCTTGTTTTAAATTGCTTGGATAATTTGAGTATTTACATTTATATTTGCAGATATTATGTGGGACAAAAAGCCATGTTTGATGGTGATTTTAAGAAAGGTAAATATTTGACATTTTATTAAAGTGACATTATGCCCATCCAATGGTGTACAGTAAGTGAACAGGTGAAAGTCAAAATATGTTTTCATTTTGCCATAATTCCTTTTACTTTAATAATTAAGTTCGCACAAACAATGAATAACGCACAGATCCAAACAAAATTTCTGTAAATATCCATAAGAATTTACCTATAACGCTTAATTTATCAAAAGAGTGGGGCAGTCTTTTTAGATTTTAGACGGATTAATAATTTTACCTTAAACATTTTCCAATAACAACTGTTGGTCAATCACCATTTTGACAGTCAATCTTTTGAAATATAAAGTTAACTAAGCTCAACTTGACAATGAAAATATGAGCATAATGTCACTTTAAACTGCATCTTATCAAAAAAATCCAGCTAGCTTACGGAGTGTTGGTGGTTTTACACAGGTGTTGGTTAAGGTTTGTACCTAAAAAAAATGCAAAGGGCAATTGAGGTCTTCCTCCTCAAGTAATGCTGGGAAGTCCCAATATGACCATTACAATATTGCTGCAAGGTAAAACCCAGCAAAAAAAAAAAAAATAATCTTTACAAATGAGCTTGTATGCATTTGTTGTTAAATGTGTTAGACAGTTTGCTTTTAAATGAAGCACACCCTCAGGTTCATGATAATTTTTATGGACATTAAGAAATGCTAAATTTTGTAGAATGAAGGAGCAAATTGATTAAAACTAGTCTGAGGCCGTTGGTAAAATTTACTTGACACTTGTTTGGTAAATGTGTGCATGCAACTTCATATATAACCTCATTTCTCATCCTCCATCAAAGATGTTCATTTAAAACTTCACATTTCTCTTCAGGGTCTTAAATTAAAGGTCACTTCCCATGATGCATAACTTGACTTTTGACTGAATTATGGCCCTTTGTAAACTTCAGAAAATTTGTGTTTAACAAAAGGTATTCTCAAGAAGCTTCTCTAGTTCCATCTGTGGTTGAGAGACAATTGATCTCAAGACATTTAGTTTAATGGTCATCTGTCTCTCACCCCAGGCAATCCTGTCCCATGTGGGATTAGATGTAGGTCACTTTTAGAGGAATTGGTAATGACTGGTTAGTTATCTACAAGATGTGACCAAATAAAAATATGTTAAAATGCATGTAAGAAAACTATATTAACAAAGAAACCTCACAAGTGTTTTTTTGGGGGGTTATAATTATAGTGATGATAATGATTTTAAAAGAAATTTTCATGTGAATGTAGACTTATTTTACTTTCATATATTTACAGCTGAGGAGTATCTGAGTTTTGCGTTTGAACATTGCCATAGAGAAAGTACCAAAAATAAGAGATTGATTCTACAGTTCCTGGTTCCAGTTAAAATGTTGCTGGTAGTTATTTTACTTTGGCTTTGTTTACATATCTTATTATAAGGTGTAGCCCGCGCTGGTCTCCATGATACTGTTGTACATGATAACTTTTGCTGTTCCTTTTTATGCTCCCCGAAAAATTTCGGGGGAGCATTTAGTCGGCGCCTTGTCCTTCCGTCCGTCCGTCCGTCTGTCCGTCCGTTTTCTTGTCCGGAGCATAACTTGAAAACCCTTGGAGATAATTTGTTTAAACTTCATACAGTGGTAGAGGGCATTGAGGGGGAGTGCAGTGTCAAAGAACCATAACTCTATTTTGCCCGGTTTTTGAATTATCTCCCCTTATAGAAAAATCTTGTCCGGAGCATAACTCTAAAACTATAAGAGATATCAACATGAAAATTTGTAGGTGAATATATCTCAATGGGTAGATGTGCAGTGCATAAGAACAATAACTCTTTTCGTCCTAATTTTGGAGTTATTGCCCTTTGTTAATTTTAATACTTTGAACTTTGTCCGGAACATAACTTGAAAACCCTTGGAGATAATTTGTTGAAACTTCATACAGTGGTAGAGGGCATCGAGGGGGAGTGCAGAATCAAAGAACCATAACTCTATTTTGCCCGGTTTTTGAATTATCTCCCCTTATAGAAAAATCTTGTCCGGAGCATAACTCTAAAACTATAAGAGATATCAACATGAAAATTTGTAGGTGAATATATCTCAATGGGTAGATGTGCAGTGCATAAGAACAATAACTCTTTTCGTCCTAATTTTGGAGTTATTGCCCTTTGTTAATTTTAATACTTTGAACTTTGTCCGGAACATAACTTGAAAACCCTTGGAGATAATTTGTTGAAACTTCATACAGTGGTAGAGGGCATCGAGGGGGAGTGCAGAATCAAAGAACCATAACTCTATTTTGCCCGGTTTTTGAATTATCTCCCCTTATAGAAAAATCTTGTCCGGAGCATAACTCTAAAACTATAACAGATATCAACATGAAACTTTGTAGGTGAATAGATCTCAATGCGTAGATGTGCAGTGCATAAGAACAATAACTCTTTTTGTCCTAATTTTGGAGTTATTGCCCTTTGTTTATTTTAATACTTTGAACTTGAACTTTGTCCGGAACATAACTTGAAAACCCTTGGAGATAATTTGTTGAAACTTCATACAGTGGTAGAGGGCATCGAGGGGGAGTGCAGTGTCAAAGAACCATAACTCTATTTTGCCTGGTTTTTGAATTATCTCCCCTTATAGAAAAATCTTGTCCGGGGCATAACTCTAAAACTATAAGAGATATCAACATGAAAATTTGTAGGTGAATATATCTCAATGGGTAGATGTGCAGTGCATAAGAACAATAACTCTTTTCGTCTTAATTTTGGAGTTATTGCCCTTTGTTAATTTTAATACTTTGAACTTTGTCCGGAACATAACTTGAAAACCCTTGGAGATTATTTGTTGAAACTTCATACAGTTGTAGAGGGCATCGAGGGGGAGTGCAGTGTCAAAGAACCATAACTCTATTTTGCCCGGTTTTTGAATTATCTCCCCTTATAGAAAAATCTTGTCCGGAGCATAACTCTAAAACTATAACAGATATCAACATGAAACTTTGTAGGTGAATAGATCTCAATGCGTAGATGTGCAGTGCATAAGAACAGTAACTCTTTTTGTCCTAATTTTGGAGTTATTGCCCTTTGTTTATTTTAATACTTTGAACTTGAACTTTGTCCGGAACATAACTTGAAAACCCTTGGAGATAATTTGTTGAAACTTCATACAGTGGTAGAGGGCATCGAGGGGGAGTGCAGTGTCAAAGAACCATAACTCTATTTTGCCTGGTTTTTGAATTATCTCCCCTAATAGAAAAATCTTGTCCGGGGCATAACTCTAAAACTATAAGAGATATCAACATGAAACATTGTAGGTAGATAGATCTCATTGAGTAGAGGTGCAGTGCAAAAGAACCATAACTCTGTTAAGCCTTATTTTTGAATAATCTCCCCTTTTAGAAAAATCTTGTCCAGGACATAGCTGTAAAACTATAAGAGATATCAACATGAAACTTTGTAGGTAGATAAATCTCAATGGGTAGATGTGCAGTGCACAAGATTCATAACTCTACCTTGCCTAATTCTGGAGTTATTGCCCTTTGTTTATTTTTACTTTTTGAATTGTCCAGGACATAACTCGGAAATCATAAGAGATATCATCAAGCAACTTTGTAGGTTGATAGATCACATTGATTAGAAGTGCAGTGCAAAGAACTGTAACTCTGCCTTGCCTAATTTTGGAATTATTGCACTTTGAACTTTTTCCACGGACATAACTCTGAAACTACAAGAGGTGTACTTTCCTGTGTCCAAAACCTATTCGGGGAGCATCACCCGGCTCAAACCGGGCTCTTGTTGAATATATTCATTATTGTACTACAGTTATGTAATTGTACTGGGATAGCACCATTTGTTGTCAATGATTGATAGTGATGACAGAAAATGATCTTTAATTATATGAAATCATTGTTTTTATATGCATTCCAAAGTTAAAAGCAATTTTTTATTGTAACCTTTGTTTTAGAATACTTTTAAATTATGAGATATTCTTAAAAAGAAAATGATAAAAAGTGTCATGACATATTTTAGGGACAGATGCCAAAATCTGAGTTACTGAGGAAATATGATCTCTTAGCCTTTTTAGAAGTGTCAGAGGCAGTCGGGTAAGGCTTATTTATCATTCATGTTAATTTAACTTTATATGCTCCTTGAAATATTCGATAGAACTTATAGATTCGGGTTTCACTGTCCATGACTTATGTACGTAGTTAGATTTTTAGACTGAAAATAACCTCTTTGTGACCTTTACAAAATAGAAAGCAATCTCCTACACATTGATCTCCCCTTATCATTAAAGTGACCTCTACCACCACACACATTTTTAACAATGTTTTGTTAAAAATATTTTTTAGCTTTTGAATTTATTTTTCATTATTTGGTGTACTTTTGATAATTTTTTGATAATCTATAACAAACGTAGATATTGAAAATTAAAAATAAAACAGAAGAGAAAAATGACATTATATTTTCTATGTAACGATTGATATTTACATTTGTATTTTCGATGTTACATCACGTGACTTTCATCATCATGAAGCAACAGATGTGCAAATTAAAACAACCAATTGAGGGGGGGGGGGGGTGGCGGCAGGGGGGTAGAGTGATGAGATATTCTAATCTACAGGCTGAAAAATACAACCAATTTAAACAGTATTTAAACCGATGATATGGATCGTCAATCTGATAATAATGAAAATCCTATTTAAGGATATAATCAGGACAATGAACATGTTCATAAATGTTTATAATATTATGATAATAAAATACATGGAGTTAATTTTATGTTATAATGTAAATTTCTAAATGTCGTATTACCTCCCTTTATTATATATGAGCTGCGTCATGACAAAACCATTATAATGGGTTTGCGACCAGCATGGATCCAGACCAGCCTGCGCATCCGCAAACGCACTGTGTTGGTTTTATCGTGACGCGGCTCATATTTACAGTTCAGGTAATATTCGTCAGCTGAATGCAGTGATGGAGAAACACGAACACTACTTCATCAAGTGTGGAATTTACCTTATCCTTGAAAAACTGAAGATTATTGCCTACAGAAATTTGTTCAAAAAAGTGTATGTATAAAATCTTGATTACATTTGTTGGTTTAAACATATTTTGTATATTTATTTAAGATTGATTGCGAAAGAAGTTCATGCAACTTATATTAATGACTTTCGAGTCCGCTTCCTGTAACCAACCAGTACTTGTGACCCGATTAGGGCTCGAACCCATGATCCCTGGATTGAGAGGCAAACATCTTAATCACTAGGCCACCGTTCCCCTTTAATAACATCATTACATTTGTTATATACATGTTTTTGGTGCTCTCAGAACATAATTTCTAATGGATAGAAGCATTATACATGTATTTAATGCATATATGCTGAGATATCAAAGTAAGACGATGCCCAGTGATAACAAGGTCTGACTGCAATTACAGGGGTTGTGAGTTTGACCCCCTGCTACAACAACTAAAATTACTGATGAGACATGAAAAACCAAGGTCCTGTGTATCGGTAATGTTAAAGAACCAGTTGAGGCAAGAAATGATGTCATTGTTTTTGTTGGACAATATCTTTAATATTGTTCTATACATATATCTTTGTCTTGCTGTCCCACGTCACAGAATTCACACACACTAACACCAGTTTGTGTTGAGTGGACTTCCGCAAGGATAACTGCTACAGCCATTTGTGGAGATTATTATGAGCATCAAAAGTCTTCTTCCAGCTGGAATGCAGCTTAAAGATCTTCACAGTGTTGATTTGACATGACTTTAAACACAACTGAAAGATAAAGAAGAGAAATAGATTTTAACATTTAACCTGCTGAATTTGTGACATTGATTTGCCCAGCATTCATTCTGGAACATACTATTAAAAGTTTAAGAGATTTCAAAATTAAAATACAATAATTGAGCTGCCAACAGTATAGAGCCTGGTCAGACTGCATAGATGTGCCAACTGACCTGGCTGTATACTGATGTCAATGGCTAATTATTTTAAGTGTTATCATGTTATGATTAGAGAATTCATATTTATTTGACAGATATTTGATCAAGAAAACTCACCAGTTGCCTATACAGTCATTTACTCGAGCTTTACAGTGGATGGAGGTAGAAGAAATAGACAATGATGAAACAGCATGTATTGTAGCTAATCTTATATGTGATGTAAGTTGTCATTGGTCTTCAATCCTTCTACAAGGGCAGTCTCAAAATAATGTGAACAATTTTATAGATGTTTGTTTTTAAAAACCTTATTGTTAGTTGTTTCTGCTCATTGACACTTATACAAAGGGCTGTCTCAAAATTCCTTGACAAATTGTATACTAGTAGATTTCTTTTTAGTACTTTAGTACGTAAAGATTCACATTTAATTTCTATATACACATGTATTAAAAATAAAAAAGTTCTTTTGTATAATGTCTTTGATGTTGGACATGTGGCAGAATTCACATACTTTGTCATCATCATTTTTACATCAACATTTTGTTATTCATTGAAATATTTTTGATTTTCTATGAAATTTTGTAAAAATGTTTCAATTGTATATGTTTGTAACATACTAAAATCTATAATTTGTTCCTATTAAATTTACCCTTTTGAACAGACTGGCACAGAATTTGGGGAACAGCCCTTGTGGGTCACGAGATATTAATATATTATAGATATATATCATTACAACCTCCACAGAGAGCAACACTCTTTGGTAGATAAAGATTTTGGTTGTTGCTGAAACGTGTTACATATTGTTTACTCTTATTATACAAAAATGATGCTATTGCTTCATACAGGTTACTACTCTACAGAGAGCCCCTGATTTTCTGTTAATAAAAAGTTTGTCTATACAGTTATTATACCATACTTTACATCAGACATACTTCATATATTTTCAGAACAAAATAAAGGGATACATTTCCTATCAGCACCAGAAGTTGGTTGTCAGTAAACAGAATCCATTCCCACAGCTGTCAACAGTTATATAGAACTACTGCACGTGTCTTGATACTTACAATATGTGTACATACAGTCATTGACCAAACTGACTGATTCTGTATATAGTGGCATGACTTTATGTTGGATGTGGATTGACCACTTCAATCTTGACCACGCAGACTGTTTCTGTACATATTGGCATGACTACTATGGATTTAACTCACTACAGTGTTGGAACAGTACCTCTAGATGCTTGCAGAAATCATGATCACAAAATAGACAAATATCTTTCTTTTTCGCCGATTCTTATATTTTTCATTCATTATCGTATATAAATCAGTGTGAAGAGATGAATAAGACATTTGAAAGTTCATTCTGTTGGATGAAAATGCGAAATTTTAGCATTTAATTATTCAAGCATCTTGTCCGGTATATTTAGTATGGTGCTCCAATCCTTTTTTTAGTTTCACTCAACTTCTATTTTGATGGACCTCATCGATAATTGACCTTATCACATAAACCGCGGCGCAGGAGTGTAATAAAGCCATTTAATAAAAACGATATTACACTACTTTGACGTGACGTCATTTGCGCTATATATAAACATAGCGTTAAAGCGCGCTAATGTTAGCTTAACATTATAGACGTGTCATTGAAAAATTACTCATTTTAACAGTTTACTGTTCTTATTTTATATATGTGATAAAAAGAATATTATATTTGTGTAGATTCAATACTAAATTTATTGAACTCGTTGAATAAAACAATATTATGCTCGCCAGAGGCTCTGTAGTATGATTTTATTCAACTGGTTCAATAAATTTAGTATTAAACAACACTCTATATATTGGTCATTGGTCACAGTGGCATGACTTCTATTGGATGTTGATGGACCTTACCACCTGCTGCAGACATACTAATGTACTCGTACAGTGAGTTTGGACCATGTCAGAACTGACTGTATAAGTTTAGTGGTTAGAAATTGTTTAACAAAAAAATCAAGCTTATTATAATCTGTACAGTGTGAAGTGAGGATCCAAGTGTCGATAGTCAACTCTGACCTTTTATTTGAATAACAATAGATTTAACCATATACACTGACATTTGTTCGTTTGTTAACAAATATGTTGTGGTGAAATTCTTATTGTATCCACAAATCTGATAATTGGAATTAAGACAGGTCAGGGATCTATGCATGGGCCAGGTAGTGACAGTTTCTGATACAGTGGCTTGATATTGTGTCACACTTGGTGTTTTTATTAGCTCACCTGTCACAAAGTGACAGGGTGAGCTTTTGTGATCGCTTTTCGTCCGTCGTCCGTCCGTCCGTCCGTCGTCCGTCCGTAAACTTTTGCTTTAAATGACATCTCCTCATAAACCACTGAGCCAATTTCATCCAAACTTCACAGGAATGTTCCTTTGGTGGTCACCTTTAAAAATTGTTCAAAGAATTTAATTCCATGCAGAACTCTGGTTGCCATGGCAACCGAAAGAAAAATCTTTAAATATCTTCTTTTAAACAACCCTAAGAGCTAGAGCTTAGATATTTGGCATGAAACATCTTGTAGTGAGTGTCTACCAAGTTTGTTCAAATAAAAGCCCTGGGGTCAAAATTGGCCCCGCCCCGGGGGGTCATTGATTTTCCCTATATGCATATAGTAAAAACTTGAAAAATCTTCTTTTAAAGAACCCAAAGAGCTAGAGCTAAGATATTTGGCATGAAACATCTTCTAGTGAGTGTCTACCAAGTTTGTTCAAATAAAAGCCCTGGGGTCAAAATTGGCCCCGCCCCGGGGGTCATTGATTTTCCCTATATGCATATAGTAAAAACTTAAAAAATCTTCTTTTAAAGAACCGTAAGAGCTAGAGCTTAGATATTAAGCATGAAACATCTTCTAGTGAATGTCTACCAAGTTTGTTCAAATAAAAGCCCTGGGGTCAAAATTGGCCCCGCCCCAGGGGGTCATTGATTTTCCCTATATGCATATAGTAAAAACTTAAAAAGTCTTCTTTTAAAGAACCTAAAGAGCTAGAGCTAAGATATTTAGCATGAAACATCTTCTAATGAGTGTCTACCAAGTTTGTTCAAATAAAAGACCTGGGGTCAAAATTGGCACTGCCCCAGGGGGGTCATTGATTTTCCTTATATGCATATAGTAAAAACTTAAAAAATCTTCTTTTAAAGAACTCAAAGAGCTAGAGTTTAGATATTAAGCATGAAACATCTTTAAGTAAATATCTACAAAGTTTGTTCAAATAAAAGCCCGGGGGTCAAAACTGGCCCTGCCCCAGGGGTGTCATTGTTTTTAACTATATGTGTATAGTAAAAACTTTAAAAATCTTCTTTTAAAAAACCCAATGAGCTAGAACTTAGATGTTTAGCATGAAACATCTTCTTATGGGTGTCTACCAAGTCTGTTCAAATAAACAAATAAAAGCCCTTGGGTAAAAATTGGCCCGGGGGGGGGGGGGGGCTATATACAGGTGAGCGACCTCAGGGCCATCATGGCCCTCTTGTATTGATATTTGTTTGGAATGGAGCTGTTGTCAGGCTGAACAGAGTATGTTTACAAGCAGTGTTCATATGTTTATAATAACCTGTTATCAAGCTACATGTAAATTAGAAAGGGCTAAATAAGAAACCACACTTCAACACTGAAATATTTTCAACTTTATTCTGAATCTACGTGTTTTGAAATTACATGCATATTGAAGTTGTATCACTTGCAAAAAGTGTATGTTTGGTAAAGAATGTAATTCAGTGGTGTCATAAATAAATTATTCATGTAGAATTGTGGGTGTCATGACAGTTGAAAGCAAATCCTGATTTTTTTTAGCTTAGAGCTTTGTTATACAAGACCTAAGAGCTTTGATATGCAAGGTCTAGAGCTTTCATATACAAGGCCTAGATATTTGATTCCACTTCAAACCTTTTTTTCTAATAAGAATACCGCTTGATTTAATCTGATTGTTTTTCACCGTTCCGGTGCACATAACAAACCATTTGTAATATTACCAACAAATCATTTGTAATATTAAAAACCTACGGAGAGTACAAGAATAAGTTCAGACCTGCCTTTGAACAATCTTATC